TAATAATCACTTTAATGTAGCTTGCGCCAACAGTTGTACACAGAAGCAGTTCCGGGAGCATGACGTATGAGGTCAGCGTTGCGCATGCGCCGGTGAGTCTCGTGAAAACCAACGTTTGTTTACAGGATCAAAGGAAGCAAAGTTTCCTTACTTTAGCAAAGGAAAACCAGTCTCCTCTTGGCTTATATCGAAATCCTCCGACATTCTTCTTTACAAATCCTCGTTTTGTACTTCTAATTCTTGACCGTTGTTTTATTTTGATCTCTCCGCTGCGTTTCTGCGTGCGTCACTTCTGAGTGCATGCGTAAAGCCGACCTCATACGTCATTCCCCCGGAACTGCTTCTGCTTACAACAGTGATTGCAAGCTAGATTCAAGTGATTATTACGTTTTGAATATGGATACTTTTCTTACAAAAACGCATCGATTCACTACAGAAGTCCTTTGTTCACCCCCCGGAGCCGTGTGACACCTTTATTCATGGATGGGCGATTTTTATTTAAGTTATTTTGGACTGAAGCAATGCAACACCCGCTGAGTGGCATTAAACAGCTTGAAAGATCAAAGACAAGTTTTAATATAACTCCGACTGGATTCGTCTGAAAGAAGAAAGTCATATACACCTAGGATGCCTTGGGGGTGAGTAAAAAGCAGCCTAATTTTCATTTTTGGGTGAACTAACCCTTTAAGCCTCGATAATCTTCCGTTGAAGCAACTTTATTGAACGAGCTTCTCGATCACAACACTGCACTCACTTCTGTGTGCAACACACACACTCATACCGCTCTTCTCCATCTCCCTGCTGCACTCACAGAACGCGCAAAAAGCAGACCACTCGCCAAAATAAAAGTATCCCAAAAATGATCTCTTTTCAAAATAATATACCCGTTACACATAAGTTGATCAGATGATGAATATAATAGGATCACACACTGGACTCTTAAAAACCAAGTTTCCAAAAGGGGTTTTATATAGCGGTGCAAAAGAAAAACCATTTTGCCTTCCCCAAACAACTGTTCTGTGAATATGTCTTAAAAGAACCATTTTTCTTAGTGTGAAGAATATTTTGATAATTAGAAAATTTTTCCATTATAAAGAACCTTTTGTGCAACTGAAAAATTCCATGGATCTTAAAGATTTTTCATGGAACCCAACCGATAAGTCCATCCAACCACAACAAACTCTGAAGGAAACACAAACCCTCCCATTACTAGGAGACTCATGCCACTCAGATGTAAACAAACATTGGTATATGGGAACTGGCTGCTGTTGTTAACTGTCACTGTATGGCTTCAGATTAGAGTCTTCTCGTGTCCTAAAATCTGTACCCGACCCGAATCACTTCTTACTTGTACCCAAATCTTTTTTTTTTTAAAGAAAAACCTGACCCGAGACAGATCGATGAAATTAGACCGAAGTCTGATCTGACCTGACGGCATTTATTTTCGAACGCGACTGGACCCGAACGTAAACGACATTAACGTGTGCACAGCCTGCTACCCCGCAGTCAGTCAAGAAAAATCCCAGTGTCCTGCTGACTGATGTGGCCGCTTCTCCATGTAACGAATCAGTCCACTGAAGGCGAGCGTAGTGAGAACCCAAGTGCAGTTTTATTTACAAGTGTCATCCAAACATCCAAACAATATACACAGACTTGACTTGACTTGACTTGACGAGGCATGAACAGACTTGACTAGGCATGAACAGATTTGACGAGGCACAAACAGACTAAACTCACCGACAGCGGGTTACAACATCAGAGGTGGGTCCATCACACTAGCAATCAGTCTTTTCAGTCTTGGCCCAAGCTCCGCATCCGACTCAGGCGTGGCGGCCATCTTGGCCGGGGACTCAGGCGTGGCGGCCATCTTGGCCGGGGACTCAGGCGTGGCGGCCATCTTGGCCGGGGACTCAGGCGTGGCGGCCATCTTGGCCGGGGACTCAGGCGTGGCGGCCATCTTGGCCGGGGACTCAGGCGTGGCGGCCATCTTGGCCGGGGACTCAGGCGTGGCG